GAGCAGGCGGCGGGGAGAGTAGTGGTGGTGGTTTGTTTAGTACCAGCGTAGTAGGAGCCAAATAATAAGAAAGCGAGGGAGGCCAGCAAAACAGGGGAAAACAGAAATAGGATGGATCACAAACCTTTCGATGATAAAAGGGATACGTCGAGGGAAAGGTAGCCCAAATTGATAATCAATAGGCAAGTCAATAACAAGTCGTAACCAGAAACAAGAAAAGACTTGGAGAAATAATAAGAACGACTCTTGATCTCTTGTTGTTCCCTTGTTACTCTTGTTCTGGTCATTTTGTTCAGTTCAGGCCACGATGACCGAAACTCGCCTCTAGTCCTGTTCGGGAAAGGTTGCCAAGCTACACCTCCTCTGCGCGCTCAGTGACGACATCACGTTTCTCCATCGATTCTGCTTATATTCATCGGCATGTTGCTCTTCAAATTGTTCTAACCAATATAAGCATGCCATCAATATACTGAATGGCCTCCTCCGTAAAGCAACATCTGGTGTCAACCTGTGTGGTGATGTTTAATGGATATCCAAAGATCACAAGCAGCGCATACCCCACATATTCAGGGACGCCGATCTTCAGGCCCGTTCCTTCGTCCCTGATTCGACACTTAAGGTCGTTCTCAAGCATCGACGGACAAAGCATGTACAGGATCATTTGGGCTTCAACAAGACTGAGAATCATAATAAGAAATTGGAACTTCAGATTCAAAGGATGAAGTATCACGTGTATACAGAGTATAGAAGAAGCATAAATATAGAAACGGCTGTCTCGTCAGATCCGAGACGGCCACCACTTCACCACTTCACCAACACTAAACTACAAAGGCCACTAAGCTCCACCTTGTCTCGCGTGAGTCGACTCCAAACTCAGATCTGTTCTCCTCGTTTCGACTTTCGAGGTCCCATCACAGTAAAGCTGAGAAACTAGACAGGTTATCTGTGCCTTTTATTTTAGTCCCTGACTCGGCAGACAGATCCTGAGATCAGCAGTAGATCTTGTCCAACGTTCGAGCTTGGGCCAGACGTGAAGATACCTATTCACAAAACCAAATCTACGTATGCTGAGGGAAGAAGAATGATCAAAATCATGGGATCCATACAGCATGTGTGCATTTAAGGCCTCTGTTAGAATGGAAATATAAAATGTTGTAACTCTTGAATAGAATTCATCAATCAATTGTTGATCAGAAACAAATATGTTATAAGAACAGTCAAGAGGTCGCAACAAAGACACACAAGAAAAGTACACGAAATCTTTTTTTCCCCCTTTTCCATTTTTTCCTCATAGAAAGTCTCTTCTTTCTTCTGGCCAGTTCAACCATGTTTGTCTCTTTTCTTCCTCCCGCACTCAATCGTGATAGAAGAATCCATCTCACCCGATACTAGACATTTTGTGGTATATCGAAGACAGCCCAAACGCCAAAGCCATGAATAATAAACACAGTCCAAGGCTTAGATTCTTGGAATGAATGAGAAGCGTGCTGCTCTTATACGACGTTGTCCTCGTCCCAGTGATAAAAAGGAAAGGAAACAGAATGAATACACGGATCATCTAAGCGGCCCAGTCGGAGTCGAGAGGGTGTCCCTTCTGCTTCGAGCGTAGAATATCGGGTATATAGGTGGGGGTCACCGTGACCTTGGGGGCAGGGGGAACGGCGACTGGAGCGGCAGGAGTTGTCTGAGTCTCAGACGCACTGGCCTCGCTGAAGCTCTCATCAGCTTTGCCGCCCTTCTTCTTGGGCTTCTTGCTGGACACAGTGGTCCAGTCATCGACAGGGTCAGCGCCCAAGATACGCATCTGCTCCTCTTCCGAGGGAAGGCCCTGGTCCCACTTCTTCGAGCTCGAGGCAGTGGCAGGAGACTGCTTGGAGGACGGCGCTTCGAAAGTGTCCAGCAGTTCCACGTTGGGGCTCTGAGACACATTCCGGGTGCCGTTGGAGGTGGTGTTCACGTCCTTTGTCTGCCAGGCGTTTGTCTGAGGCGCAACGGGCTTGGACTTAGCCGCCTCACGGCGCTCAGACTCTCGGGCCATGTGGAGTTGTTTCTCGAGGAGCTTGCGTCTTTCTGCCTCGGCTTCCTGAACTTGTTGCTTACGAGCCTCGTTCTTCGCCCGTTGCTGACGTTGTTTTTTCGTTTCAACCTCCTTGAAAGATTGGGCCTTCTGCTTCTTCTGCGGCGCTTCCATGGATCCGGTGACACGGAGGACAGACGCGCCGGGAGCAGGAGCTTCGAGCATGTCCGATACATATCCAGCAGAGGAGGCGGTAGGCTTCACCATCGGTGACCCCGCGGGGGAGAGATCATCGTCCGCGTCTGCGCCAGCGGTGGAGGAGGCGCGAGTTGAGACGCCGGATCCAGAGCGCTTACTGGCCTCAGCCTCGAGTTGGCTGGCGGACTTCTTCTTTTTCTTTTGAGATTTACCCTCGCTGCCGCTCACCTGGGCGGGGATTCCACTCTTCACAGCGGTAAAACGCTTGGCCATCTCCTTCTGGTCAATCTCTTCATCCCCATTATCACCCTCTGTGGCTTTGTACTCGAATGCGGGCTTCTCTTCAACCTTCTTGGTCGTCGTGGATGAAGTAGGCTCGGGGGATTTTTTCGCCTTCTTCTTTGGCTTCTTGACGCCAGTGGCGCTTTCTATCTTCTCTACCGCTGGCTTGACGGTGTTCTTGACTTTGGAATTCGGAACATTATAATACCATCCCAGGCCACCTGCCACCACGAGTAGCAGAGCCCAGCTAACGTAAGGATTCATCATGGTTCAAGCTATATCCACAACGTGTCAGCTCGTCAGGGTCGAGGTAGCGCCCCGCGGTGTCGGAATGGAGCATACCTAGACAAATTCGTTTTTCAAAGAGAAGCAAAAGGGGCAAGAAAGAAAAGCGTATGAGAAAAGTCGTGATATTGAGGGTCGTCGTCTCAATGGATCGTTCTTTGAAGTGGAAGGTGGGAGGACGGCGCAGGAGACTGGGCAGGGAGCTCCTGGTACCGATAGTGATTGATCACGGATGATTAATTGGCTGGACTGATTCGCAGACTCAATTCAAGTTATACCATCAGGCCAAGACGGGTTGGAGACTCGGACGGCGGATGGAAAGCTGAAGGGGGTTCGAGGCGGAGAATGTCGCGCTGAGGACAGGTTGCGTCCGCGAACAGAAAGAAGACGTGTCGTTCGAGCGACCGAGTCTATAGCAACTCAACTTTCGCACCTTTGAAAAGGCTGGCCAGAAAAATTGAGTTAACCAGAGAGATTTCCGACTGGGTCAGGGGAGTTATTTGCAAGTCAAGAGGTGAGGTCGCGAGGGCATGAAAAATGGTGAAGGGAGGGTGGGATCACCAGAGGAACATCGAGACAGCTGGTTGATCTCAATTGAGAGATGAGAACAAACAAGCTGAAGGTATGACGAACCGAAGGGATCACTGGAAGGTCAGTGTGAGTGAATGACCGATGGGGAAGAGAAATACGTGGTAGTGAAAGGTGGATAGAGGAGGTGGAAAGGAGGAGCGAAGCGATAATAATTACGACGGAAGAGGACACGGTCACTAAACTCCGCTCTCCAGGCCTCTCAGTATTGGCTTTACGGAGAGTATCTTTTGAGAGGAGACTAGACTACGGAGTAGCACTGAGAAGTCTCCACTAGGTCATAGTTCACTATTACAAATGATTAATTTCTTTGATCATTCAAGTTCAGCCTATCAAGCATCCATCGATAGATACCTCTCTAGATACACGTTGTTATGAATTTAATCCCATATTTTAATTGTTGCACATACCCTACTTTCACTTCGTCTGTAGGTATACTATCTACCACCCTCAAAAGCCGTTAAGCGACTCGAAATCGTCTGAAAGGTAGTGACATTCACTCTAAAATGGAATTCTCCTTGATGCATTAACAAACGGCACTCGGAGTTAGCTGATCCCTCCATCATCAAACAGACGACAGGGGTAATTCGCGCGGGGGGAAGCCAACCAATCCTTCCAGCCATGAGGTATTCCAGACCTTTTCCATCAGCGCATTTCCCCTGACTTTGTCATCCAGTCTAGACACAGGGCAGGCATGATTGGTGCCGAGATACGCACGTAGTATCTAATAGTCACAATCATAGTTCTTGGACAAAGCTACACCAGAACAGGCCACGTCGACCGTTTTGACTGCCAAGTCATCCTCCACAGGAGGTAGCCAAACCAACATCAAGAGAACCTTCGAAACTGGCGAACAATTTGAATACAGAAGTACTACTCACTCCGTTAGAAGGAGGAATTTGTTAAATACTCACAACTCCTGACTTGTTCCTCGATATATTTCTTACGGGGTTCATAGATGTGCATTTGACCCATTGGATGCCACGAGGGTACCTATACTTGAAGCCATATCCATTTTGATTGATGTTTGATCAACGAGTAATGCTAGGACGCGTGCATTCTATCCTGATGGTAATAATATTGTCGAGAATCTCGACCATCTGTTCTTCAGTCTTCCTGTTGGAACTATGAGTGTTGCTGCCTGATTCCTAAGGCCATAAGACATTTCGCCTTTAACCTCGCCTTTATGCATAAAACTGCATAAGCCTTACCCTAATCATGATAATGTGGCTGTCTTCTAGAATAATAATAATTCCCTTCCGGAAGTATACTCCATACCTATCTATGAGTTTGGCACAAAGTTTTGCACCGCTTTTGTTAGCAAATCCTACAAATCCGCGGTCAATTACATAAAAACATCGTGTTCAAAAACACTATGTAGCCTTAGGCACATCGGAGTTCTCCGCACTTTCTCCATAGTCTTCTTGAGAAAGTTCTGAAAGTACTCCGTATGGTGGGGAATATGATAACAGAGCCAAGACTGAGAATAATAAGATTTCCCATCCCACTTTCTGTTGCCTTTCTGGATTATCAACTTTTACAACGCTTTCACCCAAGAAAGCACCACTCATTTTGTTAACCTTGTCAAACATTGACTGCCCATAAGACAGACTCCTCGACTCTCCGCATCATGGCGCCGAAGAAGATCATCATCGACACCGATCCTGTATGCCTTCGCTAGCATCAATATGTATACAAAGACTGACTCGACGTGAACAGGGCATCGATGACATTCTCGCGCTCCTTCTTGCTTTATCCGCACAGTCAGAAGAGGTCGAACTGCTGCTTATCTCTCTGACCTTTGGCAACATCGAAGTGAGGAGGTGAGTTGCCGTCCTTCTAGTTGCACCAGTTTTCAATCGCTAAGTATGGAAAGCTGCCTCCGAAATGTCGTCTCCATGTTCCACATTCTGGAGCGAGAGATGCAATGGCGTCGTGAACAGGGCCGGCCTGAAGGGTTTGGCGCTCTGCGCGCCTGTCGACCGGTCGTTGCCGTTGGGGCCGAGGATCCTCTAGAGGATCAGAAGATGTTGGCCGATTATTTTCGTATGTACCCTTGTCATAGAAGAGTTTATCATCGGCGCTAATGGTTGATACACAGATGGAACGGATGGACTTGGGGGCATTCATGCTAGCGTATGTTGACGCTTCTGACGGTCCCTTGACAGATGCTGACCATCGCAGCATCCGCACTTCACTCCAAAGGAAACCTGGGAGCATATGTTCGATCCCTCGGCAGACCCCAACGTCATCGAGCCCATACGCACCGGAGACTCGGCGCATCAATCATTCATTGCCTCCAAGCGGCCCGCGCACCAGGAAATCCTCCGCGTACTACGCGAAAACGATCCCGACACCGTCACCCTCGTGGCTGTCGGTCCGCTGACCAATCTGGCCCTTGCTTCCGCGGAGGATCCCGAGACTTTCCTGCGGGTCAAAGAGGTCGTAGTTATGGGTGGCGCAGTCAATGAACCAGGCAATGTAGGCTTAATCTCCCAGCTATGATTCTAGGTCTGTTTCTCGACTAACGATTGGCAGGTCACACCCGTTGCCGAGTTCAACGCATACGCCGACGCATTCGCCGCGGCACGCGTCTTCGCCCTCACTTCCCCAAACCCCAAAACCACCATGCCATCCGGCACCACCCTCCCCTCCTACCCCGCTAAACTAAGCAAACAGCTCACCCTGCGCCTCTTCCCGCTGGACATCACGCACCGCCACGGCCTGACCCGCGGCCAGTTCCGTCAAGCCGTCGCGTCACACCTGGAGGCCGGCTCGCCGCTGGCGGAGTGGATGTCGGCCTTTATGGCGCACACGTTCCGAACCATCGAGAGCCTTGTCCGCGACCAGGTCGGCGATGCTGTCGATCTCAGCCTGCACGACCCCGTCTGTGTGTGGTACGCGTTGACCGCCGAGGATGCGGGCTGGAAGCCCTCCCATGCCTCGCCTGAGGATATCCGGGTCGAGACGACGGGTCAGTGGACGAGAGGCGCATGCATCGTCGACCGACGCAGCCGGCAGCGCCTCGAAGGGGAGGAGGAAAGTGCCAGCGACCATGGCCATTGGTTGAGCACGAAGGCTGGAAATCGGATCTGGAGAATTGACGGTTCGCCCGCGGAGAAGAACTTTGGCGCGATTCTACTGGAGCGGATATTTCGATGATTCCATCGTTAGAACTGAAGCATGCACCTTTGATTAGAACAAATAGACACATCGGGGATATCTCTGGTAGAAGAGTACATATCTAGTAGACTATTGTATGTTCTTCGTTCTTGAAATGTTGATCGATGTATATCACCGTTAATAGTCTAAAATGTGATGAGCATTTGAGAGCTGAACTGCAGAAAAAGCAGGCACTGACGAGGTCCCTGGATCTACTGAACGCTAATAGACGATGACCATAGAAGTATTCATGCTTTATCAGTCCCATGATCCAATTATCTGAAGAAAGAAACGCAGGAACGAGAGAAGAGAGTTCCCCCAGCCAAGCATTTTTCGAGGCAGATACTGCTATTTTGAGCCACAAACGGCAGGTCCCTTTGATGGCGTGCTGGCGCGGAGAACTGCTGCCTGAGTCAAGCCGGATTGCTAGCAATTTCCTCCGCTGTCCACTTTGGAGGCTGATGATGGACAGCATAATAGGATGGTTTGTTGCATATATATACAGGTACATATATTCAGATGACGAAGCGTCTAACCATAGTTACAGACTTGTAGTGCTTTGAGGAATACTGCGTAACCAGGAGAGAGTATGCATAGCTTATCATTGCCGTTATAATCAGCTACAGTGGCTAGGACATGCTATGATACGATCAACCGTAAACCCAAGCAAATATGCTCCTGGAAGAATATCTTCTCGGAGTATACCTTATTTGACATCGAACGCACTACATACTGATGAGACGCATTCAGTGGACTCGGAATCCTCCCGGTGTGATTGTACCTGGTTGCAATTATTGGCATGACCCCATATGCCGCAGGTATGAATCGTATTCTGTATCTTATTCATGCTAACACGGGAAAAAGGATAAAGCTTGATTGATCATCAAGGGGTTAACTTTCATAATCAATCCTCATTAAATGATAGATCATCAGTTGGGTACTCAACGTACCTAAGCAAGGATGAGGTACTATTTTCCAGCGATTACTGCTACCCAGGTACATATCAGGAAACGGAGTGCGTGTAAACCGTCAGAGTCGACCTCGAGTCAAAGCCAGATGATGATCAGTGCACCCTGATTTCTCCGGATTTATCTTTCCGTGCCTCCTCTGGAGTAGACTAACACACTTATCAAAGCCTTGAACAGCAGCACGAGCCCCAAATTGGTGGACGAGATGAGCCCAGGGCAGCCGGTCTCGTGCCTCGCCGACCCCCCGGTGGACCAGCCTATCACAACCCGAGGAGCTACCGCGTGGGCAAGCCCCCAAGCACGCGACACCCATTTTCGCTCAGTGTCTGCAAGTCTGAAGGTCTTGCCTAGCCTTTTACCTTTAAGTCCTTAACATGGTGAACTTTGTCGATCGTCCACTCCATTTCCCACCTCTTTGCACATGTCTTCTGGCTGGTCGAATCATCTTCTCAGGAAGAGGCAGCACGCCTCTTCCTTCCGCTATCAGCACGGTATTCGCATCTCCACCATGTTTCCGACTTGGTGAACAATGTCCCCCGTTTTAAGAGTCTCAGGGACAGGGGTCCGACTAAGAAGTAAACTTTCTCTTATCTGCGCACGCAATTGACTCGTTCTTAATAGACCTGAGGCTGCTGTCTCTTGTTTCTCATCTTCCGTCTTTCTCTCATTCCATTGTTGCCCGTCTCACACGCGTCTCTTCCACGGTCAATTTGTACAACGACAATCTTTTTGTCGTCCTACAGCTTGCCATCTAGCCGCTCCAGGCCGTTTCATCGGCTAATTCAGACCTCTCTATCTTTCCTACCTCAGACCAAGTACTGGATTAATACACCCATCCGGCCATCATGTCACGTTCACGTCTTCCCCCAACTCCTTCAATGTCTGGAGAATTCATCATCAAGGAACAAACTTCCGTCGACGGTGCAGACGCCTTTGCATTGCCTCCAGCTGCCCTAAGTCCTGCCAAAAGCGAGAGTGCGAGCAGGAGACCTTCCAAATCAGACTCCTCGACATACTTTCCTGCTTCTCCCAACTCGCCCGAACTCCCAGGTCTGGGCCGCAATGCAAATCCTCCCCGTCAGGCTGGTACCAAGAGGTTACTTGAGGATTTTGATCTTCCACCTCCGCCGACCCGGACGCGCAAGATCATCCAGATGAAGCCCAAGACACAGACGCCGGCCAAGCCTGCCACAACAAACAGCAAGCCTTCACCCAAGGATAACGGGAAGAACCAGCCTGTCAACAATGCAAATACCGCGACATCCGCCAACTCGAAGAAAAAGCAGCCTAGTGCAACCAGCGCCGCGGGTCGGAAAATTGCCAGGAAAACGGCTCATAGTCTGATCGAGCGTCGGCGGAGATCCAAGATGAACGAGGAGTTTGCGACTCTCAAGGACATGATTCCTGCTTGCCGGGGTCAGGACATGCATAAACTTGCCATTTTGCAGGTACGATCCTTCTTCCTTTCCCAAAAAAGTAGTCGGCGATCACTGACTTTACGCACAGGCAAGCATTGAATATGTGAATTACCTGGAAAAGTGTATCCAAGACCTCAAGACTGCTGGCAGTCAACGGACGACGGCATCGCCGTTCGTGCCGCCTGCTCCTCCCTCCCCTACGTCACCCGAGATGCTCGGCGAAGTTCGCAGTGGAACACAATCAACGTCTGTGTCTCCACAGCTACTGCCTAACGGCGCTCACACCAACAACACTTCGCCACTTTTCTCTCCTCGTAGCCGGATTCCCTCAATAGGGACAGCGATCGAATTTTTGCCTGCGATCCTTCCCAGCCCCGCGTTAGGCCCAGTTCGCTATGGCGAGGGGACTATGCACCCTCCACGTGGCTCATGGACCGTCCCGTCATCAACGCTCACCTCACCCGTCATTCAGCCACGAGCCAGCAATGCTTCCTCTGGAACCGACGCGGACATTGACCATGAGGCTTCCGCCGCCCTGCTTATGCTGAACAGGGATCGCCGCGGAACTGTTGGCTCTGTGCAGGAGGGCCTTTCGAGTCCTGAGTCTCAGGGGAACAGTGGAATGTCGATGCACGAGTCGCAAAAGAAGATGGGGATGAGTGTCAAGGACTTGCTTATTGCATAGATCGTGTTTTGATTGATCTGGCGTCAGGAGGTTTAGCCTGATTCAGAAGGGGTCCTGGGTGGTGTTCTGTTTTCTCTCGGTAAATGGGATATGAAGGCGCAATGAGGCTACTGGGGCTTTATAATGAATAATGATCTTTGGAGTTTACGAAATCTAATACTGCTTTACTGACTGCAATCAATACACTTCAACGAATCAACTTTCAAGCCAAACTCCTACTGCGTAAACGAACCTATTCCAGGGGTCAATGCGTTAGCAGCCACAGCTCATTACCTAGTAATAATAAGTCAGGAAAAAGACCCAGCCTGAAAGCATTGAAGATAAAACCTAAGGTAATTATCTCTCCACTTGAACGCTGATAATGGATGTCTCACTCGTCGCCCTTGAAGTGGCAAACGCAATTCATGCGAAAGGGAGGGGGACAGCCCAATCAGACGAACCTTCCAGTCGTCTTCTCGGAACCCGGTCATGAGGAGAATCCGGGTTGGTGTTGTAGGTACTTGGGCAGGGGTTAGTCTAGGTAGTCTATGTTCTTCATTTTTCCCTTCTCCCTGGTACTGTGCGTTGAAAGGCCTGGACTCGTTCGTGCACATCGACTTTCATCTGCTCAGCGCAAAAGGCGCCGCACGCGAGCGTAATTTCTGTCAGGATCATTATGCTTGGATCCATGCAGTGTAACTTGTGTCACTTGTCTTGGTGTACATAGCTCCGAGTCATGTCTACAGTATGCCTTCGCTTCAATATGTCTTTCGCCTCTTCTTGATATCCTCGCGATAATGGGCGAAGGAGACATGAAGATAATGAAGGTCAGCATGCATGCTTGAGGCATCGATCAGCAGGGCTTGTAAACAATTCATCTGCTGCGCCGACTTCTGCCAAGCGGTGATGAATGTATCGCGGCTCGCTGGTTCCACCGAGTCAATGCGGCCTCCGCAGTGTGGAGTATTCAACTCACGGAGTACCTCTTACTCAGTAGATAATTCCTACGGCCTGTGGGTACTCAGAATGGTACAATCAGCTATAAAAAAGCAATTATATCAGATTCTGGTTGTCTTATGGCTGTCGCACTGTTGTATGTATTTGTTTTTCTGTACTGAGGTAGGCTGGTACTTGGGAGGTACCCAAGCAGACGAAATAGGATAAAGTACTCCCTCCTGAGTAGTACCATGATCTACGCCAAGTGCTTGGTATGCGCCCCGGTCAATCATCAGCTCAACATATTGGATTGAACTATTTGAGCGGGAATTCAGACAGTCTTGGCTTGATACAAGGGGAATCTCTTGGGAAAATGAGTACTGTACCTAGTAATTCATGGTTCTCATATCTGTGGGTCTGGATGCGTAAGTACCTCATTGAGCAATGGTCAGTTACAGTTAGATGACGTCGTTGAGTGGCTCTCAGTAAAGCGCCGTTCGAGGTACTCAGGTACTCCTGCCTCTGCACCCTGAAGTGTCAGGGTACCTACTATTCTTCATGAGTAATGCTCCTGTCTAAGTAATAATAACCAGTCCAAGGTACTAGGAGAGGTACATTTTGTTCGTCGAGTAGCATATCTGCCAAGTGTTCTTGCCCTGTCGCAGAACCAACCGATCAATAACAGTCAATCATTCACATTATTGCCTGAATCAAACGGAATTTCGATGATAATTGCCAAGCTAGGGAGTCTGACGACGTTCCCCAATCATTCATTTCACTCTCGGCACGTCTTTGCCGGGAGACCTTCCGATCCTAGTATTCTGGCCTCCTCCGAGGAGTTCCAGAAAGAACACCCCGCACAACTTTGGGTGTAATAGTTCATGGTACTCCCTTCACTCTCTGTCTGGCCTAGTGACCGCCCTGTGGGTCAAACTTTGTCCTCTCTAGTCGTTGCTTAACTGACTGCCCTCTCGGATACTTATTACAGCCATCCCACCCACCCTCCGGTCCCCAAGTCTCCTTTCAATCGACAACTGGGTTTGAGTATCCACAACTCTTCTTCTATCCTCGACACAAAGCTCCCCACCAGTCAATACTATCCATCACAATGTCCAGATTTCGCTCGCAACGCAAGAAAAACGCCCGCTCTATCGCTTCAGAAGACCCCTGGAGGGTCGATACCCCGTTCGGCCCTCCACGGATGTCCTCCTTTCCCGGTGGTGGGATTCAACGGATCCGCAACACACTTTCCAAGCTGTCACCCTCCGCTCGAGCAGAGAGAGAACTCCTGAAAAAGAAGAGCCAATACAAAATCCCATTGACGGAAAGGAATATCGACACCCTGGTCACCAACCAGCTCTTTTCGGATTCGTTCAGACCAGAACGGCATACGGAGCAGCAAATATCCGCCTGGCTTGAGCGACTGGCATATTAATCAATTTGACTTTGGGGTCCGATGGCATATCCGTCTCTTCTGGCCGAGGACTACCCCGCCCATGTCTTGTCCCCCTGTCGACATCGAGTACTGGTCTGATTCGAGCACCGTCAGCTCAATCTGGAAATGTCTCATTAAACGCAAGGAAATGCCTCTCCTGTCGATTTGAACTGGAAACAATGATCGTCCATCGCTCCCTTGGCGTTGACGCCATCACCCAATATGCCGCGCCAAGTATGCAAGTCCATGCATGCCGCCTGACGCAACGCGACAGCGACACCCTGGGGAAGAGACTTAGGCAGCTCGAGAAGCGGTTAACGAAATGCTGGTTCAACAATCTGGCCCGGGTGGTCTAGTGGTATGATTCTCGCTTAGGGATAAACCCAAGCATATCTGCGAGAGGTCCCGCGTTCGATCCGCGGCTCGGGCCGTTTCTTTTTTATTCATTTTGCTCTCCCTTCATGCCATAGCAGGCAGGCATTGTCTTTTTTGCGTCTTGCTTCAAGACGAAAATTTCTTTTGTGATAGATACCCTCTGTTTAGGATCCGTCTTTCCCACGTTATTCTTGTTTAGCCTGGAGCTTTGGTGCTTTTGCCTGCGTAACAACAGCAATTCTGATTTGTTCCTCTTGATAATGATAATGGCAGAAGGATTCTCCTCTACTCCGTAGCCTAGTTAGGTGAAATCAAGAGCTTTCCAGTGCTTCCTCATTCTTCGTCTCCCCGGAGCTGATTTGGTTACATGCGAGATGCCCCTCATTGCTGTTATATTTACTTCCCCGCCTGTTCGGGCCCCCGCAGCAGCAAAAACAACCACGACTACAGCTCCCACCAGTCTTCTCTCGCTACAACTGACACTCTTCTGCCTATGTCAGGCGAATGGAGAACTGACTCGGCCATGATCTTTTTTTTCACCCTAGTATTGCGGCTCCCAAATCATTAATGCACCTGATCATCGGCATTTTCAGTGAGGGGTAATCCACAAGCAGATAAGGTAGCAAGCAACGCAATGCTGCGACCAAAGAAGGTCGCTATAATAGGTACATCAACTTGCCTCCACGCCAGCATAATCAGAGATTATATCTGAATTTGCAAGTCCGCTGAAGAACTCACTTTTTGAATAGGTGCCGGTCCGTCCGGCCTCGTCACGGCCAAAACACTCCTCCACCATTTCCCACAGGGCACATTCACCCCAAGCATTTTCGAAAAAAGCCATGAGATAGGCGGCCTGTGGCCCATTCATCCCAATCGCCGAGGTTCAAATTCCGGCCGTGCACGCGCCTCGAAAGATCATGGCGCAACTGGACCAGTGAATCCGTCCATGCGAACGAACCTTAGTCGCTTCACCGTGTCTTTCTCGGATTTGGCCTGGGAGTCGGTGCTTGGGACTGCGGATGTGCCTATGTTCCCGCAGGCGTGGCAAGTGGGCAGATACCTGGAGACCTATGCGGGGCGGCACTTACCTGACGAAGTGGTCAGATTGGGGTGTGAGGTTGTGCATGCCGTTCGGGAGGTGGTGGGTGGCCGGCCGCGATGGACCGTGCAGTGGGTGCAGAGGAGGTATTTTGATCTAGTTTCTTGCTCATTGCGTGGCTGATATAGTTGGAACAGTGGAAAAGAGAAACAGGGAGACGATACCGAGCAACGCGCAGTGGAGACCGAATACTTTGATTTCCTGGTCGTTGCTTCGGGGTACTTTTCTCGTCCGTATACACCGGACATCCCTGGGCTTGCTGCCTTCGCCGACAGGACTGTCCACAGCTCTGCGCTACGCAGCCTTGAGGATCTGAATGCGATTGTCGAGAAGGGTTCCGATGGAGGAAGATTAGTTGTCGTAGGAGGAAGTATGTCGGGCGTTGAGGCAGCTTCCTCTCTTGCCCTTCACGTTTCCTCATTGAAGTTTGCGCCGGAGCCATCGATGCGAACAAGTAGCTTCCCTGAAGTCTATCACATATCCAGCCGGCCTTTCTGGACGGTGCCGACCTATATACCACACACCCAGAGGGACAATGCGACTGGCACAGAGACGGTGTCCCTGCTCCCACTTGACTTGGCTATGTATGATTTGGCTCGGCGGCCACCAGGGCCGGTTGAGTATGCCTTTGGCCCTGTCTCGGCAGCGCAGGTTGCCAAGGTGAACGATTATTTCCGATCCGTTTTAGGAGAAGACTATACGAGTATCGGCCCTGGCGATATTGACTTAGGGAGTGGCGAAGAGGAGGCTCTGCAACCTCCGTGGGTAGCCATAGGGAATGATTACGCAGAGTTCGTCCGGTCAAAAGTAATCAGAACAGCCATCGGCCGTGTTTCAGCCGTGCATGCTTCCTCACCTGGTCGGGCAAAAGTTGGCATTGAGCTACCTGGGAAGGAGAGTATGTTGCTCGATGATGTTGCAGGGATTGTCCTGGCTACGGGATTTACCCCATTTCCTTCGCTCGCCTTCCTCCCTGAAGACGTTCTCTCTGCGTTGGAGTATTCACCCGAGGACTCCTTCTTCCCGCTAATCCTAGATGGAAAGGGCACTACTAATGCCAATATTCCTGACCTGGGCTTTGTCGGCTTTTATAGAGGACCATACTGGGGCGTGATGGAAATGCAGGCCCGAAGCCTTGCGCACACGTGGGCTCGAGCTGACACAGAGCATGGCATTCAGTTTTCAGCGCAAGAACTGGAGAGCAAAGCGCGGGAGAGACAGAGTGTTCGTGCATATCGCAACGCGGATCCGGATCTTCATCGAGGACAGTTCCCAATGGGAGATTATACCGGGTTGATGGAGTCCTTTGCGCGGGATCTAGGGATATGCCGTGCTCCTTTACTGGAGCTCAACGAACGACCTGGCCCTGTTGTTCCGGCGCGGTATGCCATGTCTGGTCCAGGGGCCGCCGATATCCAGACGAGTTTGCAGGCTCTGCAAGAGACTCTGCAACCTACAAGGGGAAGTGCCACTCCAGCAGTGGCCATGGCGATCTTTCGAGCCCTTCACGGCAGCTGGGATTTTACACGATCATGGCAAGATGGTGTATCGTCCGGCATTTCTACATTCTCACCGCGATATCCTTCCAGCCCCGCTTATGAGAAAGAATATCTGTACGAGGAGAGTGGTCATAAGCCTGTAAGCTCTGTGTACCGGCTCACAGATAGTCCCCAAGATGCGGAGATTACGGTCTGGTCCGCTGACTCTCAGGATAAAACTGCGGTTGCCCTCTCATATGGCCTACGGACCTTGAACCAGGACGGCTCAAGCGCGTTACGTCTGGGAGAGTACACCATTCACGCAGCCGGCACCGACTGGAACAGCAACTGCACGTATGAATACGTGTTTCGATTCAACGGCGCAGGCATATCATCCTGGGAATATACGGTTCGCAGGCCACCGGACCGCAGCGTTGTCTTGAGTAGAACGCTATTCAGACGTGTACAGAATACGTGACAGTCCACTGGCCACTTCAATTCCGGTTAATAAGTGAATCGAAACGCAGGATGGTCATCGCCCAGATTCTCCACTTCCTCCTGGGGCAGCTCCAGCCTCCATTCCCTTCTACCTGCATCCCTTAACCTATTCTCCCTCACCAAGTAAGTCAGGAATAAGGCGCAAGCCGCTCCGCAAATCCAGGTCATCCCCAGACTCACCCCATACCCGGTAGTATATCGCGGAGCCTCCTCCTTGAAGAAGATGTTACTCGCCACCAGCCCTCCACAATTGCCAAAACCAATCTGCATTGCCGACGCAATGGACTGCTTGTAATGCCCCGCCATGTTGTTACTCAGCCAGCCCATGAGGATCGGTTGCGTCAGGTAGCCGCCGCCCGTGATGGCGAAGACGGCAAAGTAGCGCGCCCCGACGGGCACGGATGCCTGGCAAAGTAGTATCACATAGCCCATGGTTGCAATGAGACAGCCTGCCAAGGTGAACAGGTACCGGTGGCGGAGCCGGTCGCTGGCATAGGCAGCGGAGAGGGTGATGACCATGGCCACGCAGTAGACTGGGATACTCATGACTTGGGCGCGGACGGCGGTCCATCCTAACTGGTGGAGAATGGTGGGGGTGAAGAAGGAGACTGCGTAGCCGGTGTTGACAATGCCGAAGTACATGAGCGGTCTTCGTCGGGGGGGCAGCCATCAGTTTTTTTTTGTTCATTTAGGGTCGAAGACGGAGGACATACCCCAGATAGATCTTTGGATCTGAAAAGGCACGCCGCAGCGACTTCTTATCCAGACGATCCATTCTCGCTTCACCTTGGTCTTCTGAGAGACGGCGGAGAAGCAGCGCTCGCTCGTCCTGCGTCAGGAACCTAGCGGTCTCAGGCCAATCGACGACGATGAACTTGGCTATGACCGCGACGACAATGGTGGCGAGACCCTCGAGGATGAAGATCCAGCGCCAGCCACTGTATCCGGCGACACCGTCCATGTTGTTGATGGCGTAAGCGAGTAGCTGACCAGCATCAGCGACCTCGTTTGATCAAGAGAAGGAGGAGGATGGATCTACCCCGCTAACTGCACCAGCACAGATACTCGCACTGAAGAAGACGTTGAGTCGCCATTGAAGTTCGTGTCGACGGTAGTACATATTGATCAGGTAGACGGATCCTCATACAAAAGTCAGCATCCGACCTTGAAACGGAGGGCAAAAGAGACTAAACTCACCTGGCATGAAACCCGCCTCGAACACCCCAATCAGCACCCGGCACACCACCAATCCTCGAAAACTCTTCGTGACGCCTTGACAGACGGTCAGAATCCCTGTGGCACCGTCAGCCATCCATCGCTCACTAGCACAGAAGAGCGAAACAAACCCCAAGCAAACATAATCCCACTCAACCACCACGACGGCGTCATCTTCTTCAAGAGTATATTACTCGGCACTTCGAAAAGAATATACGGAACGAAAAAAACAAACAGGGCGATGTTGTACTCGTGCCCGGTCATGCCCAGGTCCCTCTCCAACCCCATCAACCGGGCATTCCCGATGTTGATGCGGTCCAGGAAGGCGAACATGA